AATATGTAGTGCTGAACAACATTTATTTAAAAGAGCAAGACTCAAGTTCTTGTTCGTTCTTCTCGTGATGAGTCTGCTTTCAGAATAAACGGTAGAATAAAAAATATATATGACTATTCATAATGAATAAACATTCTTTTTATTTCTATTTCAACTTACTAATAAGAAGAATTTGTCACAGTCTGAATTCAACAATTAAAAAAAAAGTAGAACAACTTTATAATTGTGTACACTAGGTATAGATCAGTATTATCATTAAATATAAATTGAATGTATTTTTTCCTCAATTATGCTTGTTGCCCGAGTTCATTTTGTACCCAAATATCATGACTTCGAAGTCAACCCCAAAAAATATTTTGACAATTTATATAGTCTCACTGACCCTCCGGTGACAAATCCTTGGCATAGGTGTAGAGTAGTAGAGACCATCAAAGTAAGTATCCCGTATGCAAGTATGTATGTTATGCGTATTCCCTAAATTATTGGACGTCCAATCCGGCAACAGGCGGGGGCTAGTTTTGTGAAATCCCGTCACTTGGCAGCGCGTTCCGGGAAGCTGCATGAAGTCGTCACGTGGGGCGCCCCCCTGCCGGGACGGTAGCGCGCGGGCGGTCCGCGCAGCCCCCCTTAATTAATTTTAATACCTTTACCTGTAGGCCCTGTACTGCGCTTGTCTGTTTAATATGGCATTGTAAGCTGTGACACGGTTAGTTGGTAACATGTTAGACAGAGCGCTTTTAGAGGAATTTGATTCTCACGGGCTCTTTGTTGGTATGTTGTGTATTATATGTATATATTTGTTATGGTTGCCTTAAAGTGATGCTAAGCTCGCTCGGACCAGTACACTTTGAGCATTGTACTATTATTACAATGCTCAAAGCTCTTTGAGCATTGGACATATGGGAAATATAAATTATACTATACATTTATGTGAAAAACATAAATATTTCTATTATATATATTCACTTTCTTAACAGTTTCTCTCCACTGAAGTCGCTTTTCTAATTAGATGGTACACATTCTTGAAAAAATCTGATTATCCAATTCTTCACATAACTTGAGTTCATTCAACAGCCGCATTTATAACAGTAAAAAAATATGTTGTCTATATTCATAGAGGACAACTGACCATTCGACCATTCGACTTTTTGTAGCTAGAATGGCAAACATGCTGATGGCCCACCTAGTGGAAAGTAGTGACTGTATCCTATATGCTTACGTGAACATCATCACTTGATATTTCAAAATATATTGTGTCACCAATGCTAGGTGGTAGGTTGTAGTTGGTAACCTCAGGGTTGCGGATGATTACTTGCGTATTCCCGTAACTCTGACAAAAGGTTAAGAGAAAGAACACCTTGCGGTTTTAGCGGGTAAGAGTCCGGCAGTATCCCTTTACCTCCCCCTAAGTAAAAAAAAAAATACCTCTCATGGCCGTTGCTATTCCTGGTTGCTTTATGCCTCCTGGTACCTACCCTGCAATTTCACTACCATATCTCATTGTACATTTACCACATTAACCGAAACAAAATTTGTATGGAGCGACGAGATCGAGGGCTAAAAAGAGGGTACTCAGGGTCGATCACCTACGCGATAGACCTTATCAAAACGGCTACAAAGTAGTCAGTTGTACCATGATCTGGTACAGATAAAAACTATACCAAATGGAGACAAATTGCGAGGAGCTCTTGATAGACAAAGATGTGTGGCTGGCGTGGCTTTCATCATGTTATCAGTGGACTCACTTCATTGTCGTTCTTGGTGATGACCTCTCTGTCAACAGTATACGGCTAAAGAAGAAGATCTCATCCTATAAACCGAAACACGGCTTGCAACGTAAGTAACCGAGCAGAATGTGGAAACACGAAGTACGCAGACATTGTACAAAGTATCTCTCTAGAACTTTGAAATAACTTTGAATTTCTTTAGAAATAGTATTGGTTTTTTTTTATACCACGTAGGTGGCAAACAAGCATATGGCCCATCCGATGGTAAACGGTTACCGCAGCCTATGGACGCCTGAAATACCAGTGTCACATACGTTGCCGACCCTTAAGAAACCTTAATATACCCTTCAGAAAAACCCCATGCTGTAGTCTCTCGAGAAAACCTCGACAATTGTCTATAACAATCGATTAATATATGTAAATATCTATATAGATAGGAAAATAAGAAACGGCTTTAACCTACATATAGGTTTCTTAATAAATAAATCAGGATTAACTAATACGCACTGAATAAATAACGAAAGGGTATAAATTATATTTAATTACCGCATAATCCTTGTACACAAGGCTATCGAGATAAACATCGACTTCCGAACGCATCCCAATGCGTCCCACTGATGTAATAATTAACAGATTAATTACATTAACTATTTGAGAAGGCTGCTGCGATGTAGGTATATTAAGAAATTATATATTAATTACTTTTTAATAAAATTGACGCGTAAGTCTATGATTTCATAACAAATATTTATGATGTGTTTAAAAAATTAACAACTAATATACATACCTATCTTGCTACAATTTATTTTTATTCGTCTGTCTAATCTATCTGTCATTATACAAAAATAAATAATAAAATGTTAATCTGATTTAGTACGGAGAAAAAAAATATTCTGGTTCTATTCTATTCTAACACTACTGTTATTATATTTCATCTGAAAATTTTGATCTCTTATCTTACTTTCTAGAGAGATTTTTATTTAAGATAGACGATGACCTATGTTTGTTTTAGTGATACAATTTATCTTCACGTTAAAATTCATTAAGATACATTCTGCCGTTTAGTTAAGAAAAGGTAACAAACAAACAGATATAATTTCGAATTTAAGTATAAGTACTATTAGTATGGATATAATATAACAGGCAAGTATCCACAAAGAATAATTCCTTTTTGTGTTAAATACACAATAATCATTTACTTGAACTATTTATGTGAATATTTTGCACCTCTTCTAATTAAGTACGAAAGTAATACCATAATAAAAAACATTATATTTTATACAGACAAAGTAACAGGAGTTGAGTAGTTAAAAGTAATAATAATTAATATTAATATTTCAACATAATTATGAAGTGGTTATGACAAGTTCGGTCTACATAATCCGGATGTTAACTCTATTAAAACAATTTAATATAGATTTTTTTAAATATGTATATTAATTAATAGCTAACTCAAACATTATTTACAATTTATATATTCTATTTATAGTATGTAGTTATATAAAATGAATTTTATGGATACTATATACAAGTTTGAATCTGAGAATAAAGTTGTTATATTTATTTATAGGTATCGTGTATCATTCTCTGTCTATTCTATATTTAAAACTCTCTTTCTTTATTTTCTTTACCGTTATGACATATGTTTGTGTGTATCCTAATTTTCTAACAAATACATTTGTTTATATATAATAGGTATATATTATTACAATAATAATATAGAGTTTATAACGTTGTTTTCACATTAAGATCATGCTATTATTTAGGTTAAGAAATACTCAAATATTTTTTGTAAATACATACATAATATTCATAGAAAACACCCAGACCGATACAAATATTTGCACCGTGCGGGTAGTCGAATCCGCGAGCATCAAGGCTGTCTATGGAAATTGAGGATAAACAATTAGTCTATGCGTATAACACCCCTACGTTTAGCATACATACATATTCACAGCGTATAAAATCATTAATGAGCCATCGTAAATCGTGCACGTTGGACCCTAAGCAACAAAGTAATTTGCGTTTTATTGACTGATAGTTTTTCTATACGACTGCATGACATAAAGTCTGACAAAGCACATTTTGTATAGGGGCTATTATATTATAAAATATATGACATTACAGCTAGATGAATTTATCGATGTAAGATGCAATTTTACTTATATTAAAATTTTTACACTGTCTTAGGAATTAGGTAGTAAGTACTTGTATGTCGTTTATTATCTGTATTTTGTCTTAAATTTTCAAATCTGATTACAATTTTTTAATAATGTAACACCCGCTCTATTACGAAACCAATTTTTAATTTCTGTCCAGGTTCAGAGGATCTATTGTATATACTAGAAAAAATGATAGATGATATATATGTATGATATATTAGTAGGTATAACTTACTGTTTCTATATGTATCAAATACAAATAATACATTTAAAAATAATTTATATTTTATTTTAGTATTAAGTCTTAGTGGTTGAATACCTTGAAATACGACGATGAGGTCGTAAGTTCAAATCAAGCAGACCCAAAAAAAGTTATTAAATAAAAATTAATCCGAGAGATAGCGGTGGGCTCGCTATATTTTTTAATCCAACGTAGCAGACGTTGGGTTAAAAAATATACTGAACGAAATATCAAGTGTTTCGTTCATCACAACATCAAAAGGTTACAGTAACTCTGACTATTCTATCTGGGATAATAAACGTGAAGGTATTTAATTTTTTTATACGAAGTTAGTTATAGTTACATGAGTATAAAAATATAAGGGTAGTTCTTTACGAACGTAAATCTTGCAAGTGAATTGACTTTATTGCAAAATAATCGGTGTGTAATGGCAGACAACTCCCGTTTCTCACAATTAAATCGTACATAAAATTTGAAATTGCTCATAGGACACAACGCCTGAACGATTAGAAAGTGGCATAATCTTTGTCAATGTATTAAACTCTGACCGAATTACGGTCTCGGGGCGGGTGTTCACATCGTAAAATTATCTCATATTGCAATAAATATGATGGTATTTTGTGCCGTGTTTGGTAACAAGGCGAGCCGTGCCGAATGCTAATAGAGCGTGCAATTGTTGGGGATTGTTCGCAAAGTTCGACTTCTGGTATCGTGTGTGCCCTCTCCCTATTGTATTGACTTTAGGAATGGTTATTCAATTTTGGGAAGTATGTAAAACTGGACTTTATACAAAAACAGAATACATCAAATTTTAACTTATAAGAATAAATTCATATGTCAATATACTGAGGTGATGTCAGTTTTTAAAAAAATATATTATTTTACATATTCCTTATTTGAAATAAATAATATTTTATTTCTATATTCAATCGAGAACAGCTGGCAAGATATATACTCAATACAAGATATAAACTCAATATAACGTTAAAGAATCTTTTTTTTATTGTATACTGCCACGTTCGGAATTCGAATTTTGAAATTTTGTCAATAACAATGAGTACGAAATTCGGCTGATTTCAAGTTAAGTAAGTAAAATAAATATCATACAACTTTACGATGTTTAAGTCAAGTTTTTGTGTAAATATGAACTATCCAATAGTACAAAATACCTATTATTTTGTAGTTTTTATACAATGGAATATTAGTCACAATCATGCTAAATCAGTAATGCATATTAGTTTGTTTTTATGAAACAATAAAGATATGCATATTGCGTACTATTCACGTGTAGACAGAGGCTTTTATTGTAATCCTTTGTTCCAGTGTTTAACGGAGCATAGCTGTGTAGACAAAGAATTGGCGCCAGGTAGAGTTAACTCTATAAGCAAACACACTACATTGGACATTAAGTTAAGCGAAAATTTGTGATCGTTATTGATTGACTGACTTGTGCATTCAATTAAAAATAATTATTAGATTTATTATATTACTACAATTGCCGCCATAAAAGTCTATAGTAAAAGTAAATATTGTAACACAATACTTGCATTGTTATTATTACAGTGATAATACTTATTATAAATAATATAATAATAAATCTTTATTATAAATTGCGGCTAAATACTTGTATATAATCATTTTGATATCTTATTATCTATACTATCTATAGAATATAATAGAGTTCATAAATATTGGATTAGTTAGTCCATTATCATACATATACCTATATCTTTGATTGGAGCGGGATGGGTATACAATTATTAAAAGAATCCGAATAATTAAAATTATATAGAATCCCAATAGCTCGCAACTAAAGGCGACATATTAAAAAGGGTATCAAAATAATATACTTATTTATAAAAAGAATGGCGGGCAAGTTACCAGCAATATAATTCCTTATCAATCATATAATTATAAAATACCATTAATTCATAATTTTTTTTGGAATTTGCTTACGGTAAATAATATTTTATCTACAAAGATGTGTTACTTACTACCTACACTTCTTTAAAATAAAATTAGAAAAAAGTAATATTGAAGTATAGTCGCAATTTACACATCTGTCTTGGCAGATTATTAAGATTAAAAAAAAACGCGCGTGATATCTATTTCTGGTGTAACAAAAACATTGTTGGCAGTTGAAGTGTTTGCATTGTGGCATACTAGAGGCAATGGACACTATTTGCACAGCCTTTGAAAAGCCCTCAATTCTTTGTGGAGCTAACCGTACAAATAGATAAACAATTCTCGCTACACAAAATAAATAAATAATATGACCATTATTGTATACCATACCATGTTGCCAGCTACTTTGTATATTGCTACTGTGTTACCAACAATAGAAGCTAATAAATTCTAATACCATAGAACGTCACCGCATTTGTTATGCAATTAATGTGGAATTGAATAATATTTGTTATAAATAGGCGTGATGTTTGGAATTTTGTCATATTGGTGATATATTGATATTGTGTGAGAACTTGGAATGTAAGTAGGTAATGGATAGGTCTTCAATATTACTAGATGAAGGTAGTCAATAGTAAAAAGTTCTGTTCTAGAAGTTATTTTATTAATAAATATCTATATATGTACTCACATATAGATATTTATTAATAAAATAACTCCTAGCTTTTATCTGTAGCTGTTTGAACAAAAGGTTGTCCCCTATTTCATCCTACTTTAAATTATTAGGTAAATAAGTTACACTGAGGTATCTATTTATATATTTGAGGTATGGATATAATTTATATAAAAAATATAAATATTTGACGTTTTATATATATATTATAAAAATTAATATGAAATAAAATGTCAGAAGTTTGAGTTAGTATGTAGGTATATACATATGAATTTTATTTAATTTTAATGTATTCGAAAACAGCATTACAAAATTACATGTAAATTTGATTACTGTGTGCTAAAAATTGGGACTCCTTCTATATATTGTATAGTTTTTCGTCTTTGTAAAAATTATAAAACTTATTATGAAGTAAGTTTTATAGCTTTGATTCCAAGTTTATTTTTTTATTGTTTTTTTTTTTATTATATTACATTCGCGCGTGTACAAGTGAAAGTTACAAAACCAAAAACAAATCAGCGAGTCATAGACACTTATTTCTATCTCCTTCAGATAACTATTAGTTGATCATTAGCCCGTCACTCCCATACCTGTCCATACATTATCCTGTCAAAATATTTCGGCGAAATTCTAAAGTTTTTTTCATTCGAATATTTTCGTGAATTTGTCCAATTGTTGTGGCACAATGGCATCCATCGTGACATCTCAATATTTGCCACAAAGGGAATCATTTGTCATTGTCCATTAGACTATATTGTTGGGATATATATGAAATATTGACCGATATTTAATAAATAAATATTTTATAGATTTATTTAGACAATAGTTTGATAAACATAAATAAAACAAAAATGAAGAAATAACACAGCCATCTAGTTCCACGGTAAGTAGAGCTCGTGTTATGGGTTCTAGAAAACTGATATAAATAATTAGATTTATTTTCTAAATACATATATAATAGGAAGTAAAGCGGTGTGCTAAACCCCGTCAATAATCAGTCAATAATCTAAAAATAGCACAATACTTATTATTTATTTATTTACTTATTATTTACACAGTATCTACTACTACACAGTATATTAGTACCACAGAGTAAATAAACTGACAGACAGAGATAACTTTACTACAACCATGTTTGCCATGCCGCGTAGTATAGGCTTTGTTGTCACAGTGGTATTCCTTTGGATGAAAAAGAGTGATGATACATTATATTCTAACTTTGTCAACACAAGTTATACATCTTACTGTTCTAATATAAAGGTATATCTACTACATACATTAACTAAATATATATAGAAACGAGGATGTAAGCCATGGTTTCGTTTGATGCGTATTTTATTACCACTGATACCTTTTATGTGTTGGATCTTACATTGATATGTTTTATGATCGAACAACGCTTACCCACGCACCGTTTACAGTTGGTTTCATGTGTTTTCTAACTTTTCTTGTTATAAAACTGTCTTTTGTTATCTAAGAAATTGAAAATAATTATAGATAGATAGACTGTTTATTTCATTGTTACTAATAACATATAATTTCACTTTTATAAATATCGATAGTTATATTTTGACTTAGGTAAGATTAAAAAAATTGTGTTCATAGATGTGATACGCAGCAATAAAAATAGGCTTAGTGTAAAAGATTGTTCAGCTTCAACCCATTTGAGATAAAAGAATTATTAATAATAAAAGCAATAAAGTTTACGACAGCCTTTGGGAAGTGTTTTAATATAAAAGAAATTTTTATTATAAATCGTACTATAATTTAAGCTAATTTGAAATAACGATTAATCGAGTAAAAGGAAAAACAATGCTCCATTTGAAATTATAAAAATGCCTTGATCTCGACTAATAAAAAAGAAACAGATATAGTATCAGACAATAGCGCTTTGCCTATTCGTTTCTATTCGAATTTTGAACTATCCAATCCGATAATTATTATTCGAAATCTGATTGTTCCAAATTTGAATGTAGTCAACATTTTGTTGTATAATTTTCCATTTTACTAATGTGTGTACTCATTCAATTAATTAAAAATATACTGGACCTACATGAATAATAATAAAACATTACTATTTTACTTATTTTCTAAATAGTTAACTTATTAAAAAAGAAATAAACGACACTAATTTGTAGCTGGAAATAAATAGGCTGTTACCTGCCTATTTATTTGCAGCTATAAATTCTTTATGTTGGTACACAATGAATATAAAACAGGATTCCCATAGGTATGAGAGAAGAGGAAATAGACATAGGCGGCATCAACAGCGAATATAGCATAAAATAAAAATCGCATTGTAATCCGGTATTGGCCGGAGATAAGGAGGGTTTGTGACAAGGCAAGAATTATGTGCTCCAGAGGGCAATTTTTCTTTCCCGGGATTTATTCCCGTAATTTATAGAGGATCTGCCAGTATCTGGGCTAACCCGGCGCGGGCTGGCATCCCAGCAATTAAGACATACCTCCCGTCCTAATTAAGATGCTAACATAACATTTTATATTAATATTTATATATTTTGTCAATTTTTATAGATAATTAATAAACATAACAACTGACTACTTTATGTTTCAGAATGTGAATTTGTTACGATGGGCTATCTGACCTAACTTCATGCTTATTCTATTACCATCTGGTGCTCCGTGAGTGTAACACCGTTAGCGCAAACAGTTGCACTATTCCTTTATGTGGTATTATTTATGTTGCAACTTAAAAAAGATTGCTCTCTCTCTTTAAAACATTAGTAGGTATAAGATATACATTCCTTTGATGTCAATATATATAAACTCATATTGAGTGGATGACATGACTGTATAATAATATAATGTATGTACGTAGTGGTTGGTTTCGACTCGTTTTCCAACGGTCGCGGGTTAGAACTCTAGTATTATGTATTGAAATGAACATGTCACTATTAAATGTAGAAATATAACTGATCCGTATCGTATTCTGTGTAGTGTGCTTGTATTGTCTAATCTTGTCATTCATCAACTGTTTCGTCCGGATATTTGACACGCAAAATTTTTACCGAACGTGCCCGGCCATGAATTGCTGGTGACAAAAGTGTCTGTGGCAGCGAACGTCGAGAGTCGGCTTATAGCACCCCGCCCCTCGGCCGCAGTCGTAAATTTAGGGTTTCATAAAACCAGATCCGAGATAAGACACAGTGTGGAGTGAGCGTCCCGGATCAAATGCGAAACTCGCTAGACAATAAAAATAATACTGGCGCATCTGCGGCCACCATTTTACATTACTGCCACGAAATTTGTCGTGTTTACATAAAATACACCCAGTCGATAAGAATC